AACGAAAAACTGGAAACCAAATCAATGGAAGTATGGGGTATGTGTATTGAATAACATGGCATCGAATGCAAATGTACTTTGCTTCTAATTTGACAAAAGGAATTTCGAGTGTGTACACACACACACACACACACACACACACACACACACACACACAAAAACACACACACGCACACTTAAGCCCAAAATGCCAATCTGGTGAAGAATGTTGCAAGGGAAAAAAACTCAAACAGCAGCACAAATACCAAATAAATATGTTTAGGCCAAATTGCCAAACGAAGCAAAGAAAAAATAAATAAATAGGAAAAAGAAAAAAAAACACTGAGCCAAGTAAAGCAACTAACCAAAACTGAAGAGCAACAACAACGGGGGAAAAAAGACGAGTCAAGCGTAACATATTTATTGACATTGCGGTTGCCAGTTGTTGTCGCTTGTTGTTGTTGTTGTTGGTTGCCTGGTTGTCCGGGTGTTGTCGAGCAACGCACATTGGATTTCAGTTAGGCAGGCAGGCAAGCAGCGGGTTGAAACCACATCGACACCACTGAAAATACGCAGCAGGACCAAAGGACCCAAAGCACCCAAAGGACTCAAAAAGGATGAGTGGCACTTGCAAGTGTGGTGTTTATGTTCCATACATCAAGGGTTTATGGGCTAAACGTTTATGGGGCTGGCAACAACAAGCTTTTAAAGGGTTTTACACACACGCATAGATGAGCGCGTGTACATACACCCAAACCAGACACACACACACACACACACTAAGAGTCAATGTTGAAGTTTTCTTGTCACTTGAAATTTCACTTCTACCAACGCAATTTATATATAAATATACATATATTTTTTTGTTGCCAGTCGACGCACACTTGAGTGACTTCCAAAAGATGCCAACTCACAGACCGACCCGCCCCTCAAACCCCCTAGCGCATAATTTCCCAGAACTCCTGTACGCACACCCACTCACACACACACACACACACACATATGTGCAGCATTAAGAGCGTATTACAAAAATGTATTTTATCTTCATCGATTGGCTGAATTTATATCTTTTTTCATGCCACATCAGCGTTTTATGTGATGCAAGTAAGTTGAGGTTATGTATGTACTGACAGCTACAACTACAAGCATATGTCTCTGTATTATGTGTGTGTGTGTGTGTGGTGTATCTGTGTGACCAATCAGCTGTTTGCGGCATGTGAATGTTGGCAAAGCGAATGATATAATAATTCATAAATTGGATAAGTAGGTGATTATGTAAGCAGATCAGAGTACGATGGATAAAAAGTGATTAAGATATTAAAAGTTTATAGAAAAAAGAGTGGGATAAAAAAGGACTATGAAAACAAGAGTGAAGCAAACTAAATTGGATAAAAAGGGATTAAGAAATCGAGAGTTTGTAAAACAGAGTGGGTTAAAAATGGACAGAGAAAGTTTAAGTTAAGTAAAGAAATAAGAAAATATAAATATCGAAATAAATAATAAAATACAAATGATATATTATTATTTATTAATAAATATAAATTATTTATATACAGGCAAATCATAGGTTAAATTTCAAGAAAGAACTTCTGTAAATTTATTATTGTTTTATTGTTTTTGACTACAAAATCAATTACTTTCCATTTTGTTTAATTAAACTTTCTCTTGACAAACTTGCTGACCAACAGCAACTATATTTATTTTCCGTGCACACAGCAATCATCATATTTGCCAATTATGCTAATGCGTCCCACTGTGCGTGCACTGTGGGGCATAACTTCGTAAATAGTGCCAGCAACACTTGGCATCGTGTTTACCACAATTTACTGCGACTCGAGTTAACACAAACACAGCAAAAAAAAAGAGAAAAGAAAAATGAAATGCTTTAGAAAATAAATGCACATTTTTTGCCACATTTCCGGACTACGTTCCAGACCACCCGACTCGTGACCGCCCCCCGCCCCCTCGCCCCCCTTCTCTTGGCATAAACAGTTTACCATCCTGACCGAGGACGACGACGACGTCGTCGTTGTCCTGACAGCTCCGGCCAAGTTGGGCCACAATAAAGTCGAAGAAACGGGGTCGGAGAGGTCGCTGCTTGCCATAAGCCAAATATGTCTGTGCCTCTGTGTGTGACTGTGTGTGTGTGTGTGGCTGGGGCAGGACGAAAGTGTGGCAATAAAAAGGATAATGTAACTGTTATTCTACGCAAAACGGAAATGGCTGTGTGGCCAGAGGGGGTTTCAACCGCCTCAACCCACCAATCCCCAACCCCTAACCAACCAACCAACCATCCCCACCCTTGACAGTCAGTCGGTTGGCAAGTGTTTGAAATATTTGTGTGGCAAAGGTGGCAAACGATTGCAAAAGATGTGGGCGCAAAAGTGAAAAGCACAACCGAGCCAGGGGAGTGGCACTAGGCAATGGGAGCAGAGAGCAGAGAGACGGCTGAAGAAGGATGGTAGATGGTAGATGGGAGCAGTGAGTGACTGAACAAGTGGCAACGAGGAAACGACTGTCAGTGGCTTCGGATGGGGGAAATTGCGAGTTGGGAGTGGAGAATGGGGAGTGGGGCCTCTTTTGATTCGGGTTGACAGCGCTCGGAGAGCAGAGTGAGCGAGCCAGAGAGAGTGCCAAAGAGCGAAGCCGGAAAATTGTGTATGTGCCTGTGTGTGTGTGTGTGTGGAAATTTGAGCTTCTTTTGAAATTGAGGCCGGAAATAGCAGGCCACCCCCCTCCTCCAATCAAGCACTGAAGTTGAGAGCGAGAAACTGAGAGTTAAAAAGAGCGAGCGAGCGAGCGAGAACGGGAGAGAGAGTGCGAAAGGGAGAGTCCAAGTGGGAGAGCGAGAGAGAAGTTCAACGCGTCGCTTGTTGTGTTAAACAAAATGTTTGCGGGTGCAATAAGCGTAAATTCAGTGGTTTTATGTTTACTTATTCAGCACGTACCAACTGAGCACCGACCAACCCCTCTCCCCCGCCAACCATCCCTTAACCACCCAGCCTAACCCACCCCATGGCTGGCACGAGGACAATTATTTGATCCACACCACCTACGAAAAGTTGTGCATGTGGTGTGCTGGGGTCGGGGTTGGTGGTGTAGTGTGGGGAATGGGGGAGTGTAGAAGTGGGTAATATACTTTTGCAAATCGATGGCAACTCCTTAAACGATGGGTGGCAAGGGTGGTCCAACAAAGGATGACTGGTTTGGTTATTTTTTTTTCTGCTTTCTTCTTTTTTTTGGGTTGGTTGGTTGGGGGGAGTGCAGGGCGGAAGCGTGTGGCATGTTGAATGCTCTTGAGTGTTTTCGTATGGTTGACAGGATAACACGAAGTAATTCAATTCGAAATACTTTATGCTGTTGCTTTTATTATTTGTGCTTGGCTTGGCTTGTGGCTGCCTCTCGTTTTGTTCATGATTCTCGTTCTCATTTCTTGTTTCTCGTTTTGGTTTTTCTTTTCATTCTTCTCCCTTTTGCTGTCTGTCATTTGTTGTTGTCGGAAGTGGCATTTGTTTGGGGTGTTGAGGGGGTGTGATTTGTGGGTGGGGGTGTGGGGTGGTAGGTTTGTCTGTGTGGGATGTTGTTGCTTCATAAAAAATGGTGTGCAAAGTTACAGTTTCATTTTGTGTGTGTCTGCGTGCGTGTGTGTGTGTCTGTGTGTGTGTGTCTGTGTGTGTGTGTCTGTGTGTGTGTATTTTGTGGGGTTTTCTCTGTTTATTTATTTTTATGATGTTTCCTTTTTGGCATTTTATTGAAGAAGTTTACCGACGCCATTGCTGCTGTTGCATAAATAAGTAAGTGGCATGGACATATGAAACCCTGCCTCGCCACACACACACACACATATACACACACACACACACACACACACACACTGACATGAAACACTTGGACCAGCGTCTTTTGCAATTCATAAAAAAATCAATATTTATTGCAAACGTAGCACATAAAGTTCTTCTTTTCCCTTCCCCTCCCCCTCCACGAACCCTACACCTTCCTGTGCTGCTGCCACATTGCACCACCAATTTGCGGTCTTCGCCTGTTATTGGGCATTTAATCAGTTGATTTCTTATTCAGTTTTCTGCTTCATTCCCAGCATTTTCCATTCATTTTCTTTATTCGTTTTTAGTCCTGCAAATTGATTGCGAAGCAAACTCGGGAAATGCAATTAGGAAAACTTTTTGGAGTGTAAAGGACAGCAGATGATTTTGATTGGTATTTGCATATAATGTGCATTGAAATTGTTGTCGTTGCTTATTAAAATACAAAATATGTGCAACTCTTCTGTATATACCAAATCGAATGTAAAATGGGGCAAGTTTGGTTCGCATTGCAAATGGGATAATACCCAATTCATATTGATATTGAGAACAATTTTATGATCAAATCAGCCTTGGAATGGGGCAACTTTTCTGCAAACTTTAGACTCAATAGTATCGCAGACATAAGATGTTTTCATACAGATTGACAGTGAGACAGTTTCCGATTGAAGATTTGATCTACTTTGGTACAATATAATGCTTTCACATAAAGCTTGTCAAGGAGGATACATAAATATCAATTTCAATAGAATATAAGATATGCATTTATATATATGAATGAGTAAAGTACAGATTGAGTTTTTATCATTGCATGTACATATAATAAATATAACTTTCAGTGGAAATACCTATCTATATTCATATGTACACTTAAACACATACTCAGTTTACAAACAAAGCAATGTGATTCCCAACAAATGCATTTGAACTGTTTGACATGAGAAGCAAGAGAACAAGGCTTAAAAATGCAAACTTGGCAAATTGTTAAGCCAAACGCTTAACTTTAAGACTATTACACAAAGAGGAAGGAGGGCAGGGCAGTTGGAGAAGTAGGTAGCAGGTAGCAGGTGCTAACCAAATAGTCAGCTCAGAAATGTTAAGTGAAACCAATTGAAGTTTATTGGCGCGAATTGGGTTTCACTTGAACCTCGGTCACCTCGAAGCGCTTAAAATGAGTTTCAAATTACAAAAAACGCTTACCTTCTTTTGATTTTTCGTATTGCTTTGGCGACGTTGTCTTCTTGCTTGGAATGGGTCTCAGTGCATTGCTCATCAACTGCAGGTAGAACAAAAATCCATAGTTACAAAAAGGGTTTGGACAAAAGATTAAACTGTTTTTTAGCTTACGATGCGATCGGAGCGTTCGCCGCAGGGCAGACGTGCCACTGCGGCCTCTGGACTATCCTCGGGTGGCGGCGGCTGGGGCACCCAATTGTAGGCCCGCCTAGAGATGGGCACCCCAAAGCGATCATGTTGCGATGCCTGTTGCCTGCGGGTGGATAGATAAAGTACGGTTTAATCTTGAGCAGATGCTGAACGGGCTGTCAAAACGCACCTTAAGCTTTCATAGCAGTCCAAGCAAACGACGGCATATTCACCATTCTCCAGGAGCAGGCCATCGTCGCTCTTCTGATGCTTCACAAAGGGGAACTCATTCACAGGCAGTGCCCGGACCCGTTTCCTATAAGTCGTTATGCCGCACAGATGACAGTTGTAATCGTGCCAATTGTATTTGCGATCCGCCGGACTGGTACTAGGACTCTGAGCTTCATATCTGTAAATATAATTGATGATAAGCATACGATACAATTGAGTATATATGTATATAGAGATATTAATTACTTACTTGCGCCACTGATTCAACATGGAATGATAACAAAATGTGCAGACTAGCGCCGTATTGTTTCGCAGCTGCTCAGCATTTGGCAAAGAGTTGTGTTTCAGCAACAGTGGAAAATAAGGTCTTGAGCCCTGCAAAGTCAGAATTTGAGTTATATTCGGATTTGTAGTTGATAAGAGTGTAAATATAAACTAGAAGATACAACAACTGAATGCTTTGCAAAATTATAATCTGCAGTTTACATTAACTTGTCAAAAGCGCAAATAATCCAAATTGTTTCCTAAAAAACTATCTAGTTTTAAAATGTTGTTTTCTATGTCGTAATATATACGTAATGCACTAATAATATAATAGTTAATGCATTTAATTTGATTTAGCTTAAGCCCGAATCAATGTGATATGATAATATTATTAAATGATGTTTAAAGAGTAGCTTGCTTATAAATAAAAGGCGCAACTCCTTTTAAACAAATTATTTTTGACAAAATTATTGTATCTACCAGAAATCTACTACTAATGTTTCATTGCGCTAAAGTTCGCCAACAAACTTGAACTATTGAAACTGAATGCCGATTTCTTAATGTAAGCACATAGATTTAAAACAAAAGTTGTTGACTTAATATAAATATTCAAATCGCATTTTTATGCCAATATTATCTTGTCAATCTCACAAGCAGCTAGCAAACAGAACTAAATATGTAAAGTTTCATAAATAATGAATTATATTAATTGAATTATTATGGATTTAATTCAGCAATTTGAATACTTGTATACTTGAATACTTGTACATGTTACAAATTACAAATATTACACTAATATTTCCGCTTATGTAATATATTCATTAGTTTTAATAGCAATCATGTTACGTAATGCAACTCTTTTCGAAATAGTTGTTTTACAATTTAACGAACAAATGCTTCTGTCGAAGGTCATCACTTGCAGGTGACATTCATAATCTAATCTATATAAATATATCAATTAGGTAACATTTGTAAGAGTGGAACATGCTAAATACTTAGCAATAATACGGATCTAAGCTCTTAATAACTATAATTTTCCGGCACAAACTAAAGCTCTTTTCGTTTATCAGACTAACGGACTTACACAGACTAATGCTGACAAGAGAACTTATCTCTATTTGGTTGTTTATCGATCACGGATCTTTAACAAAATTACTATTCGTGTGAACTCACTTTTTTCTATTCAAACTTATATGATACAATTGAATTTGAGTCCATCGAGATATTGAATTATTTACAAGCTTATAAATATTTGAGAAATTGGGTCTAACCTAAATAAATGTAGATATTTAAGGTCTTTTCTTTTTCTTTTTTGACTAATTAGCCTTACAGCAAACGAAGACTAATCAAATAAGTTACAAAACAATTTTGTTCGGATTTGCTAGATTATGTATCTGTTTTCTTACAAGTTGATTACATTCTACTACTTGTGATGCAAGCCGGAACTTAGTCATATACATACTGTTATAGAATGCTTCAAGCGAATATTATTCCTATAACCGTTAAGGTTTTATATAACAAATATCTTGAACGGGTCAAATATTTTTTACATTTAGTATTACATTAAGTATTCATTTAAAAACTTTTTTCCTTGTGTTTTTTTACGATATTCACTGATGAGTTTTAGCTTCCTCAATACATTCTTTCAACCACTAACGAAATGCGCTTGATCTTAAACGCTAACTTTACGAATTTCTTAAGCTACGCCGTGAGAGACAGCTTTAATACCTCTTTGCTGCCATACAGGTTGCGGGCAAGAGTTAAATCCGAATGCAGGCCGCAGAGGAAACAGTAGATTGAGGTGCTGGCAGGCGTTGATGAGGAGACGGATGGCGTTGAGGGCGGAGTACAGGTACTCATCGCACCATGGCGAGATCCATTCGGCGAGCTAGAGGTCATCATGGGCGATGGAATGTTGTATCTGCAAGACAACGAGTAATTGGCATTAGATTTATATAGACTAATGGATGTAATCATGTAATGCAAATTAAGACCTTCTGTGCTCCAAGGGCACACGTTCCGCGTCCATTGACTCCCACTGGCTGGTTAAGTAGCTAATGCAATCCTTGCAGGCTAACACACGATTGCTGTTCAGTTCGTTGTTGTTGTTATTGCTGTTGTTGCTGTTGTTGTTGCTGCTGCTGCTGTTATTGATGTTGATGTTGTTGTTGGTGTTATTATTGGTTGTGGTGTTGTTGTTGTTGTTATTGTTGCTTAGACCATTACTGCTGGCATTGGCCTTGAGGCAGGGAAAGTGCATCGCATGCGAATTCATATGCTCGGCACTCGTGGACAGCCAATCCATTTTATTGGACGGACAAAGCACTTTGCATATAGAACAGCTGTGAATGGAGGAATATGTTGATTAGTTTTCTAAGTTAAACGCTATAAAAGCTGTCAATCATATTACGGGTACTGGGCATGTCCATTCTCGATGTGTCCTTGGGTCGAACTGGGCGAACTGGGTCTCGAATCGCTTCGTCTAATCTGCTTAAAATCGCGCGCTGTGTTCGAGTTGGAGTTGTTGGAATTCGTTTCATATGGCTGCAATATACAATTTTTATTTGTATATAAATTAGAAATTAGCATTAAACGTTTCGGCAGTTTTACAAGAACATTGCGCGAACACTAAAAACGTAAAAAACAAAGGAACGTCGCACATGGCATGTATATATAAATAAGTCAATTCGCACTTATCTAATCGAAATTTATATTAAATACACTATACAATTGATTTTCTATAGAGGAGGGCAGCACCACTCAAATCTAGATACACATACCGCATTGAACCGGACAGAATCGGTTCGGGCTACATCAAAAAGAGTACAACCAGCGAGTGCTCTTTCGATAGGAGGCCTCTCAATGTGTGTTATCAGCACAAATGTTTTATGGAAACGCTAAAAAACCAAACAGAACTGGTTACCCCAACGCAAGTTGAACAAATTCAATTACAATTTGTGAATGATGAATAATTCTACTACACTTTGACAAAAATGGGAGCTAGAATCTATTTAAAGTGCACAAAATGTGAAGCACTTCAACTTTTTAACTACATTGATTATGTCACAATCAATCAAGATAGTTAAAGTCTTATTATATATGTTTAGCAAAATTCTAGCTAGAATGTAGAGTATTTTAAAATATTTAGCACAGTGTAATGATATGCAATCTGAAAGTGGTTTTAGGGCGGCATAAATAAACACTTAATTGAAAGTCAACTAATACGAACCCCAACGTTGTTCACTTCGTGATCGTGTTATAATGCCACGAGCAATTATAATATTTGTAATCAACACGAATTAATTAAAACTTATTGTTTTTTTTTTTCAAACTGTATACACAGCAATTAATCGACATTTTCAATAGCTCAATTGGCGACTGGGTAACAAAACTCTCTCTCTGTTAAAATGCTAAAAAAAAAAAGCCTGAACATGAAGCCCACTCAACACACGAATTGTTTAGAAGTAACCCCCGCAGCTTCAAAACAATGACTTGGCATTTGAGTATGTGTGCCAAAGTCCTCGGGCATTCCCCACTAAATAATACGTACTACTTACAATGCTCGTGTTGTGTTTATTAAGTGCCATTAAATCTCAAAATTGCTGCCATATATGGCGAAAAAACGTTTCTGTTTATGGCTTTACAAGTGGCCTAACAAATAACTTGTTTAATCTTTGGACAAACGACTCTACGGATTCTAAAAGCGCCATCGCATATTACCCACCGAGCCGAGAAAGCTGTTAAGAAGAATTAAGCGATTAACAAGCAACCAGCAATTAAAAATAAAATAAATTATGAACTTAAAGAGCTTCAGAAATTCTCAAAATATAATCTTTTACGAGTTTGAAATACGTAAATCTAGTCTTTGTCGTTTTTGAAGATAACCATTTATTTGTGTGTACCACAATGACAATATTACTCAAGTTTACAGCCAACTTCACTAAAATAAATTAGTGGGTAGACAAATATGTTGGGTTGGTATGCGCACTTGATAACATAATTGTATTGGCATTATATTTACTGCTATTTGCCTAAGCTGAATGACATGCAAACGTCAGCGCTGTTTACGCAATATATTATCGCACTTTAATTATATGCTATCTGTTAAGAAGCAAATTGAATGCGGATACTGACACATCTATATATAGATATATCTATGGAGATATATATACGAGTAACAACTTCATCTATACATATATAATAAACAAATATTATGGAAAAATCGGGTACATTGATTAAGCGCTATGTTTGTCATTCCAATTTCGGGACGTATTCATGTGTGAATCTCGTTTCTCGGGTCTGTCGTCAATTTAAGTAGCTATTTTTTCCATATATGCAATTGCCGTTTAGTTTTGCAGCTAAGTGGGCCAAAGGTTTTGTTTGCACCTGTCTAAAGATAATTTTCGGGCTCAGCTAAACAATTATTTGCATGCTAGAAGACAATTTCTTTCGCCGGAGACACGCTAAGCAAACAATTGGCAACAAATGCTGATAACAAAAAGCGAGAAACAAAAAGCACAAAAAAAAAGAACATTTATATTTATTTTGCATTTGGTAAGAATAGACAATAGACAATAGACGACCCCCTGTTTGCATGTTTGCATAAATGCTGTCTGTGTCGTAGGTGGCCTGTATAATGTCGTTAAACCGAGTCAAGGTTATAATATCCATACGGCTGTGTTCCCATATTTAATGCTAAGTACACTAAAAACATTTCTGTTCTAAATTCAACAATTTCACTAATCCAATTTCTAATTTTCAAATGCAATTCGATCTTGTTACGAAAATGTGAAATTCCTTAAAAATGACTATTTTATCGTTCTAGATGAATACTGCATTTTTTTTAATATGAAGACGCGATTATTCCATAAAATTTGATGTGTGAATTTGTCACATTTTTAATTCGACTTAAATTTCAAGGCTTACGAACTCCACCTACAATTAAAAACAAATAGCAAGAAAGAAAAAAAATGAAACCGGAAATCAGTATAAATAATTTACGCTTGTCTTTCAAATGCCATTCAGGCAGTCGTCAAAATTCCCATTAGGGGTATATCTTGAATACTACTCAAATCTACATAAACGCATTAAACAATAATAAACAACACACACAAGAGAAAAGTAACAAAAATAATAAATAAACTACTTAAGCCGAACCATAAATAAAAAAAAACGTGTTTAAACAAAACAAATTGCTGCATATCACCAATAAAAATAAACAAAATCAAATATAAACCGGTTACTACTGGCAGATGCCTTCCAAGTTTATCCACTTTTTGTAGTATACTTTTTTATATTTTCCGCTTGGTTCTACTTTCTTTTTCCTTTTCTTGTTTAGTGCTTTTTTTATTTATACAATAATTCGTTGAAGTTTTTCTTTTTTTTGTATCGTGTTGAAATTGTGTTGTTTCTTTTTTTATGAATTGTTTGCATTTGCGCGCCCAGAATCGTTGAAACCGTAATTAAAGCGCACATGGCAAATGAAATGGAAGAGGCATTCCCTCTAAACCCCGCTCCTGGTTAAGTGTTCTCTCTCTCTCTCTTTACCTCTCTCTCTCTCTCTCTCTCTCTCTGCCTCATTCAGTGCAATCTAATCTTGACATTTGTTGACTCAAATTGGTTAACATGTTGACACCAGACTTTTGCGCTTCAACCCCGCAACACGCTGATAAGCGCTAACTAATGAAGCTGCCTCGCAACCCTCTGCCCCACTACTCTTATCAGCTCTTTCCGCTAGGCAATACTCTGCATATATATAATAAAAAAAAAAGAAAATATATATATATATATATATATATAATATATTTTATTCGTAATTGATATCGCTACGACCGACCTTCAGCATGCAAATGAATTACTCAACAATGCCCAATCATCATCATCATCATCATCATTATCAACATGCATTACACTCTGTCCATTCTGTCCATCTGTCTGATCGTCTGCCCGTCGGGTCGTCACCTTTGTGACACGCTGCTGGGTTATCAGCCAAATGGTCAGAGATGTCAGTAGGTGTTATCGCGACCAGAGCTGCTCTCATTACCGCGACACGGTCCCCGAGACGCCAAGTTCCATTTATTGTATTCTGCGATTGCATGAGTTGACGTATGTGCGTGTGTGTGTGTATATTACACCCTATACTTATTGACATAGCGGGTATGCTGAAGATTTAAATTAAGAAAAGCACATTGTTTATTTGATCAATTTAGTTTAGGGAAATATTTAATTGCAGTAAAAAGAATAAATAAATGTTGAATGCAATTATTTAAGAAGTTTATCAGTTGATGACTTTATGAATGAGAAATATTCTATACGAACATAACAATCCAGACTTTCAGACTTTTTTATAGACTGAACATCCAGCATGTCCATTCAATATTATGCTAGGGTACAACTTGAGTCGATTATTGCCATTCAGTGCTTGCTTCCACTTGTTTTTCCACATGATATGTAATCGCTTTTCTTGTACGTTGTACACTTAATTCCTGCCTGCAATCGACAGCTAGTAAATTTCCATATACGATACGACAATACACACACACACACACTCACACAGAGAAACACACATACTCTTAATGAGTGGCATGTTAATGGTTGAGAAAATGGAAAACTAAACGAAGCTGTATATTAAAAATTCTACAAATTGTTATTGACAACTGAGACCCCGTCGATTTGTTTATTTGTTTTAAATTTGATATGGTTTTTTGAGTGAGATCCTGATTAAAGTCGAGCAAATGTGGCACTTAATGCGAAGCTATTGAAGAAGCTATACATCTACATCGCAGCTTGAGCTCACCTTGAATCGCACATTGCACGTTGAATCTGAATTCGCAAGCGATTTTTCCGATGGCGAATTCCGACCCACAAACGTAGTTGAGTGATTGACACTGTAGATGGCGCCACTGGACTCCAGCGAGTGCGCTGCACCCGGCTCCGAGCCTGGAGCAGCAGCAGCAGCAACTGGAGTGCCACCTTCCGCCAGACTGTGGTGCTTCTCGCTGCAGCCGGCACAGATCTGTACCATTCCTAGACAAATATAAATCAGAGTATCGATTTCAGTTTTCATGCAACAAAATTGATGACGATATTTGACTTGACTTACCTTGCGGACTGATTGGACTAGCATTCTTATAGACCTTCATTGTCTTGATGAACGGATAGTAGGGCTCCCGTTCGGTGTTGGGGCAACAATACACAAGTCTCAACTGTGACGAGGGCGTATCCATGCCACAAGTGTAGCACACAAACGTTGTTCTTTCCGCCGAGGGCGCCGAACGCTTTCTCAACAAATAAGAACGCTGTGACTCTGGCGTGTGAGCGGCCTGTAAATGAGAAAGATATATATATTTTGAGAGATAGACATAGAGAGTGAGAGAGAGAGAGATGTGATTAGTTGAGATCGATAGAGTTCAGGAAAATGTTAACGCCATTGTGTTAATAAATGCTAATCAATGTTCAGCAAACTCGTTAAGCAAAGGTGAACTAAAAATACTTATGTAAGATAACTAATTGCAAAGCGGGTGTTTTTAACACCAACTTAACAGATAAACAATTCTTAACAGATAAACTCAAAGACAAAAGTTTGAGTGTGAAACATTTAAAGTCAATCATCAACATTCGCTTGTTGACAGTTGGGCATATTAAGAATATATATAATATATATATTTATTTAGTTTAACCATTTTTAATAGCTAAGCTCACAGACAAATGTTTGAGTGTTAAATGCAAATATTTAAAATCAATTATCACATTGGCGAATTTTAGCATACAACAGTCAAAAGAAAAATTCGTAATACCAATGAATCATCTCTGTTAGCTGTTCTCCAAATGTGCTAATAGAAAACCCAACAACAAATGACATAACAAAGTCAAAATATTAAGTAAATTATTTATGCATAACTAAGATCGAAATACAACCTAATAAATTATGTTGTCAACTGTAAATAATCTCAAATATAATACTCGTTGCAGTGGCATTAGAATAGATTATATTGTCTACCGCCCAGTACAACAATTGAAGTTACACTAGAAATAGATACTATACACGTAGACATAGATATTGATATAGCTGATATATGGAGAATGTTTATTAATGAGCAAAGCATTTATCAATCAGTTGACGCTTCGTAAACGCAATCAACAATAATGGGGGCCGTACTAAGTTATTGAGATTATCGTTAACAAGTTTGTTAGTCACGCTTTGGGCTTTGCATTTGTTTATTGAGCACCAGATACTGATCATATGATTAGTGCCGGCAGCTTAAAAGCCCATTTAAATACAATTAGCATATATATGTAGATGTGCTTACAAATAAGTACATATGTATCTATGTATCTCACAAATGCAATATGTATTTACACAAACTTGTCACACGGAAGCCCACACAGACTGGCTCGAAATTAATTCGCATGGTTTGTGTCTATCATCAGCAAATGGCAAAAGCTATTTGATATATTACGTATACGCCCAAGCAGCTCTTCAAATTCCACATACAGTACAGATACATTTACAGATACAGATACAGATACAGATGTACATCTATACCAATCTATACAAAACTACATGCATGTTGTATTTGTTTATTTGTGTCATGTATTTTCTCTGCTTATTTGCTCGCAAATCCTCCGCCTTGTTCAAATTGTATCTGTGCCAAGCGCGTAGATACATAAGTATCGCATAGATAGACAGACAAGACAGGCAAGCCAGACAGGCGGACAGACATGCAAGACAGACAGTCCGTTGTATCTGGGCAGCTGTCTGCCATTTCCAGTCAGATCTGGTTAAAGACAAACACACGCAAAACTCAACGGGCATTCATTTATTTTATTAGGCACTAAGCAATTTAATTGTTTGTTTACTTTTCTTATATTTCATTGTGTGTCAGATTTTTTGACATTGATAGGCGCGCATTTTTATTACACAACGCACGATAAAAACACAAACAATACAAACACACATTCCATTTATGTGTACACTGAGAAATTAAATGGAAATATTGCGCTCAATTGAAGCATAAACAAGAGAGTACGCTTCTCCCAGGCACGTCAAAGATTATATTGCCTTGCAGACCGGACTCAAACTGCCGACATACATAAGATTCACTAGAAATGTTGAGAATTTATCTGATATAGTTGTAGTCCGATAGTGATGATCTTTTGGCCAAGAGTTACGAGCATATCACATATAACTGGTGTCTTTGGTTGGTAAAACTTCGTAAACAAAAGATTGTTCATACTCCTTTTGATATAGTGAGCAGATCGTGGAGACTTAGACATAACCTGCATGCAGTTAAAGAAAGAAAGTATTCCCAGTTTCAACAAAACTAAACGTGACTATATCGACTTGGCTAGTGTTGCTGATAGATTTGATTGATTGAGTCGGATGCGTTACAAGCTCCTCGACAAAATTATAATATTCTCAATATTCATTCGATATTCTAACTGCAAGATAGTTTTTGGGAACTCAAATTATGTCCAGTTAAGTAAACAATTAAAATTCAGCTTGAATCAAATTAATTATATTTTACAAAATTGCGAACAAGAACATTTTTCACTTATTTTAAGTCCAACAATGCTTGCAATGAGTTTTTTGTAATGCACTCGACTTTAGTTTTTACTTTTATTTTACGATTTCTCAAATTACTTGTTCCATGTATATTTTTTCAGAGTGTATTCAGTATCTACCCCATCCACGCGTTCCCCCACCACTGTTGGTGTGCACTCACATCAATCTGGACAGCGCCAAGTCATCCATATTTATTGATCCGACGCCGAGCGGTCAAATGGCGTCGCCAGCGTTGTTGGCTTCTGTTCTCCACTTTCCCAGCCCCGTAACCCACTCCCACTGCCAGCCTCAACCCAGTTTGGTTTCTCCCCCCAACCACCCTCCCGCCACACGATGCCATCAAGCGGCTCTTATGAGAACGCGTTCGTCATTTTTATTCATACATATATACATATATATATATGTATGTATATATATATATTTTTTTTTTTCGTTTTCATGTTTGCTTGTTTTATTTGTTGTTGTCTTCTGCACCTCCGCCTCCACCTCCAGCTCCAGCTCCAGGTTGCCATCACCTCCTACTTCTTCATCGGTTCGCTGGCTGCTCGTTGTTTCGGTTTTTATGTTGTTGATAAGCATTTTCAAAATGGGGGTCATGACCGTTTAATAACTTTATATGAAGAGGCTTTTTTCTCTCTGCTTCTGTCTTCTTTTTTCTTCTTCTTTTTCTTCTTGTTTTTTGTGCTTATAACTTTTGTTTCGTGCCTGTATTTGTCTGTTAAGCATAGAACCAGTGAGCGGGACCGAGACAGCGAGCGAATTGTGCGTTTGTTTGAGGTCGTGATTATATATCAAGCGGTCACCGTATACTTAAAAAATAATTGTAACTCTTAAGCGAACATCCTAAAGTTTATTGGCCAAACTTTTTTTTTATTTACTAAAGCCATTAACAATATGAAAATGGATATGGGGAAGTTGTGCAAAATCATGAAACAGGCAGAAGGAAGCATATTCGATCTCTTAATGTGTATATATATATTTTTTTGATCAGCTTGAAATGCCTAATCGATTTAGCCATGGCCGTCCATCCATTCAAATCTGCATCCGTCTGTGTATAAAAATTAATCTCAGAGACTATCCGAGCCAAAGACATTAAAATTTCAAATATACCGCTGATCAAGTTTATTTAATTTTATCGATAACTGTACGTTGGCAACAAAAGTAGCAATTGTAAAGATATTGACTTTCAATTGTTATATAATATATAATATCAATTGTTATCCATTATTGATCAACTGTGAAATTTTAATTAAGATCGTACAAGAAGGACAGACACAAAATACAGGGTATCTTCGAGTCGAGTTCTCTTGACCAGCGCATTATAACATGCTTAGCCTCATTTGATGCTCATTATGAGAGAACAATTTTTCAATTATATTAAATATGGTCATCATTTCTCTATGTTTTTATAGGGGTAATCCCCTTAGTGTATATGTATTTTATTTTTTTTTGTCTAGCATCACCTGCTTAGCCAGTTTCTTTGCAGACAGGGTATAAGTTGAACAGATTTAAATGAAAATCAATTTTATTTATTTTGATTTGCACGTAAATTTATACATCTTCTTCTTCTTATTCGCCGTGGTTGAATTTGAATTGGTTTTTGCTCAAAACTCAATGCTAGAAAAACATGTTCTATGCATTTATTTATTTATTTATGCGATTAATATGCATTGATGCCTGACCACAGTAAATTTATGTATTGCAGACGCTGGCAATTTGGGTCAACTTTGATTGATTGATTGATTGCACATTTATCGCCTTGAGATTAGCGATACATGCCTTGTTGCAAGTAATATCATTCCACTACCAAGCTCGCTGAGGAAGTGAAACGATCGATTAAGAATAATATATATATATGGCAGAGACAATACTATAATATATACATCCCATTAGAGGCATAAGCGATAGCAATCTCAAATACAGATTACACTATCAGCATTATTGTCATTATCTGTTAACGTTGAATACACAATAAGTATATATATATATATATATATATCTGTGGTGTGGTGGTAAATTGTTGATAATGTGCTCATTGCAACACATTTACCTAATCATAGCGTGCCATTACAGTTATAGGAAGTTCCCAATCGATTGCGCAATTAAACCGATTGTTTCCGTTCTCAGTGGCATCACTTGTTGCAATTGAATTGAATTGAAATTGCTTGTCGGCTAGATTATGAATATTCATCATCAGTTTGATGTGAATCTGATTAAAATTTGTTTAGCTTTCCATAGTGGGAACTCGTACGAAACGATAATCAAATGAAGCAACTTTGAATATGCGATGGAACGAGTTACTTTAAACTTTAAATTGCTGTATCAGTTTAAAATAGCACCCTAAACTAATAATAGCTACTGTAGTAACATTAATAATTGAGTAATTGGATGGCTTAGCAACCATCAACTGTTTACTATTTATATACTTAATCCCTAGCTATAAATTACTGTAGTACTTAGACCTAGATTTAAATTGCTGTAGTTGTTTAAAAAAAACGCCCTAAGCTAATAATAATTACTGTAGAAATTACATAAATAATTGAGTAATTGGATGGCTCAACTGTTTACTATTTATATACTAAATCCCTAGCAATAAATTACTGTACTTGAAACTATCACACGTAAATATTAATAATTACTACAGTAATCACATTAATAATTGACAATTGTTTTTCCATTATTCGTTTACCTTTTCGCTTTGCTGATCTTTAAGTATCAGATATGTCTTTAGTTTCTTGTAGTCCTTCCAGCCATTTG